GCGCCGCCTGCTCTTGTTGGATGCCGTCTGTCTGCCTCGGCCTGGGATGCTGGCCTCTGCTTCGCCAGCATCCACGCCACTGTCCTCACTCAGGGTCTGCCCACTGTCCGAGAGCTGGGAGAGTGTGGAGGCTGCAGGGAGGAGGGGAACAGGAGATTAGCAGTTTATGCAGCTGATGTCAGGGAGGACTTCCTGGAGGCGGTGATGGAGCTTAAGGCTAGAAGGCTGGAGCAATTCCCCAGGCAAAGATGAGGGAAGAATGAAAGGATTATGGGCTGGAGGGCAGGGAGACTTCCCATCACACACTCCAATTACTGAAGGCCTGCTTTTCCAAGTGAACCTGGCTGAAGGCGGCCATCTCCAGGATGTCTGCCTCAACTCCCCAGCTCCCGGCCACTGACATAACCGTTAAACAGGTCAGGAGGCAAGTCTGGCCCACGCATGGGGCTGTTCTTCTGTTTTCCTCTCTAAACCCATACAATGCTGCCCATTTTTAATGACGGGCCGACACATTTAAGTCAGATTTCAAATAAAAATGAAATTCCTAGCTTCCCCAGGGGAAACACACAAAAGAAAAGCCCACGCCAGCCTGTACTCCTGAAGGTCCCCCAGGCGGCCTGAACGGAATGGTGGGCACAGGCCCTCCGACTCGGTCACCCGGGCTGCTTTCCTCTGTGTGTGACAGCCTGGCCCCTGAGTGTGGCACCCTGGGTTGAGAACACACACTCCGGGGTCTGGCAGGTTGGCCCAGCTGTGCACGCCTGGGTGAGTATCCCAGCCTCTCTGAGCCTACTGCGTTCTCGTTCTAACACGATGGTGCCTGTGCGGTGGGGTCATCGCCAAGGCTCACAGACACAGCGGAGCGAGAAAAAGCGTCGTGAGAATGGACTGTGCCGAACCACCGGCTCCTCGCTGCACCCGGTCTCGGTGCTGTTATCTGTAAACTGGAGATAATAATCGTACCAGCCTCCTGGGGCTGCTGGGAGTCAGCGGGTTAACATATGCTAGACCCTGGGACAATGTCGGCACACGGGAAGCGCTTTATTTTAGTTTATTACTTTTAATTTGTCGGAGGGCATATGCACTTGCCAGAGAAAGAGAGAGAGAAAGTGAGAAAGCACCCCTGGGGGGATGGTGACACCACGATCCTTTCACCTCCATCCTCCTCTGGGGACTCTGGGCACGTACACACGTGTCTAGAGTATTTCTCAAGCTGCTGGGTGCGGGCCTGGAACCACACCGCTGGCCATGCGGATCCAGCCGTCTTCTCCACTACACCACTGGCTGGCGCAGAAAGTGCTTATTTTAGGCCGCTGCTGGCTCTCATTACCACCTGTGTGTCCAGCTCCGTGCCAGCCCAGGGCCACAGTGGTCCGTCTGCGACAGCACTGGTCTCTCTCCCCACGTCCTGGCTGTCTCCCCTGGCTGCCCCCTCACTGAGCTACTGAGGTCGGGGCCCTGCCATCGATCTTGCCCTCTGTACTGCCTGGCACAAAAAGACACTCAGGGACCGTCCCCTGCCCTGGCCTGCCCCAGCAGGCCTCGCTCATCAGTACAGCCAGAAGATGGCAGCAGAAGGCAGCACAATGTACCCACACTACTAACAGAAGGACCTAGAGCCAGGCTTTCCTGGGAAGGTGTGGAGGGGGCAGCTCTGTGCTCCCTCCACCTCCTGGGCTGCACAGCCTCTGGAGGCCCCGGGATCTGTGCATCAGGAGACATGCCAGGGGGCCAGAGACTGCCAAGCACTACCAGTGCTGTTATCCCTGGGAGACGGGATAACAGAAGCCAGCCCTGCCCCCAACAAACTCAGTCTCCCTGGGGACACTATTAGGTGAAGACAGGGTGGTCAGGGCTAGGGAGCTGGACGAGGTGCCCTAGCACTCCACAACTTGGCAGGGTTATCATTGGTTCTATTCTTTCATCATCATCATCATCATTATTATTATTTATTCTATGCTAGTAGGCACATGCACACCCATGAGGGGAGAGAGAGAGAATGAGAGAGAGAGAGAGACCCCAGTGGGGCCTGGTCACACTGTAATTTTCTTTCTTTCTTTTTTTTAGAGAGAGCTTTCTGATACAGGGCACAGGCATTTGTGCTGGATAGACAGAGAGGGACAGAGAGGCAGAAAGCAAGAAATCACCCCCCAGGAGGTATGGCTATACCACAGTCTGTTCTCCATTCTCCTCTCAGGATTTCGGGCATGCATGCACATGTGCCCCTGGCATGTACAAGCTGCCAGGTCTAAGACTCGAACCACCGTCGACTATGTGGGAGTCCAGCGATGTAACCACTATGCCATCTGCAATTCTTTTCCCCCCACCCCTTCATCCCATCAGGATTCTGAGCATGTGCGTGTGCACCGGGCCTGTTTTCAAGCCCCTGGGTCTGGGACTTGAACCTGGTCCTCTGCACAGCATTTAACCACCATAGTACAGGCTGGCTCCATTATCTTGTTTTATGATGGAACTTGCGGTCCGGAGAGGCAGGGGGGGGGGGGGCCGCAGCTTGTCCCAGTAACAAGCTGCCAATGGCAGAGCTGGGACTCAAGGCAGAGTCTCTAATGCCAACGCCACCCAGAACATGGGACTCAGGGCTGCTGCCCTGGCCACTCTGACTCTGAGTATGGACGCTCTGAGCTAGCAGGCCTCTCAAGGAGCAGAGAGCCCTGCCTCTCTCTGTGCTGATGGGTAGAGCAATGGAGAGAGGAAAAGCACCCCCAGAGTCACAGAGCGGAGCCCCCACCCCCCAGCCTGGCCCGCTGTACTCACTGCGCGTCTGAGGCAGCGCCCTCACTTCGTTCACGTCCGGTTCGCTATCTGGGCGGTGCACCTCCACCATGACAAAGTGCTGGTTCGTGCCAGTCTGGTCTGGGTGGCTGGAGGGTGAGGGCGGTGGAAGGCAGCTCCCGGCCACCGCAGCCTCTGCAGGGGGGCTTTTCAGGTGTGGGGGTGACTGGACTCGAGGGAAGGGACCAATGGGGTGCTGGGTGACCAGGGCCAGATGAGCGTCCAGTGGTCTCTTGGAACCAGGGTTGACAGGGGAGACAGAGGCGTAGATGGGGGAGGAGGGTGAGTCCTGTGTCAAGGCGGTCCCTGGGGTGGGTGCAGTGCCCGCCGGCGGGCTGTGGTTCCGCGGAGCCGAGAAGACGATGCCCGAGTGGGAAGAGGCTGAGGAAGGAGACTGGAGGTCTTCTCTCCCTGGCTTCCTGGGCTGGACAAGGGGACAGTTGTGGCCTTGGGTCAGAGGTGGGGCAGGAGGTGGCTTGAAGCTCTGCAGCCCCTCAGAGGTGGATTTGACATCATCCTGCCAAAAGACCCAACAGGAGTAGACGGAGTCAGAGCCCATCTCGGCTGGAGGAGAGACCAGAGCAGCCCAATGGTGCCGGCCGGCTGGAATCCTGTTCCCGTTCTATCAGCTCTTGGCCACGCCGCCCTGAATAATGTAACAGCCGAGTGGAAAACTTCTCCCCAGCATCTCAGCCACTGATAAGCATCGGAATCTTGGCAGGCATCTCTGGGGACGGCATCGTTACCTTTGGGAATTGACATTCTTGGCATTGGCCAGGGCTTGTCACAGGGAACAAGGCTTAACTAGAGGCCCACAAAGAGGACCGACAGGAAAAAGACAGGCATTTCTTTGGCTTTTCCTTTTACGGGGTTAGCTTAGGTACCGGAGACGGGAGGTATGGAAGGGCTAGAGGGAGAAGGAATGCATAGAAGGATGGATTCTGGGGGCTGTGTGGCCCTGAGCAAGGCGCTGCACCTCTCTGGGTGCCTCTGGGCGATGGGGAAAAGCACACCCGCCCAGCAAGGCTGATGTGGGGGTGTGAGGAGCCACAGGCCTAATGCGCTAGCAAGGGGTCTGCGACACGGCAGGGGTGCGGTGTGTGACAGCCACGGATACTGCCCAGGCTGGCGCCCATCGCCTACACGGCTCTGCAGACATCCCAGGAGCTTCAGAAACGCTTTACTCATTAACTTACCCTGCTACTACCGACCTCGTGTAACCATGGGAAACTGAGGCATGGGCCGGCAAAGAAACTCCCCAGAGTCACACAGTCAGTGGCAGAGGTGGGATTTGAAGCCACTCAGTTTGAATTATATGATTTTTTTAAGAGGTTTTTGCTATAGGGTGTGTGTACTCGCCAGAAAGACAGAAAGAGAGAGAGAGAGAGAGAGGGGGAGGAAATCTCTCCCTGGGGGGGTGGCCATGCCACAATCCCTTCTCCTCCATTCTCCTCTTGGGATCTTGGGCATGCACGCACAGGCATCCAGTGTGAGTTTAAGCCACCGGGTCCGGGACTCGAACAGCGATTGACTACATGGGAACCCAGCAACATAGCTATTACGCCAACTGCTGGTCCCTGAAGCCACTCAGTTTGGATCCTGAAATTGGGCTACACAAAAGACTTTTGGGGGCCCAGCAGGTGGCATGGTGGTTAAGGTGCTGGACTCCCACATGGCCAACCATGGTTTGAGTTCTGGACCTGGCGACTTGCATTCTCACCTTCCCTCTGTGTTTCTCTAGTCAAATTAAAAATAGTAATAATAATAAATAAAAATGAAATAATTGAAATCACTGAATAAAAATGGAAATAATAAAATAATCATTGAAATAATAAAAATGAAACAATTCTTTAAAAAAACAAACCGAAAAAGCCTTTGGGTTAGAATCGCATGAGCACGACGCTACATTTAGCTTCCATCCCCAGCCCAGGCCTAAGACCTGCTCTAGCTCTCGCCACACACTCCAGGCCTCGGTACCCGCCCTGGTCATGTCCAGACAACATGTCGAAAGGAAGAGCCCACTTGGTAAAGAACCTGATGGCCACACTGAAGATCCCCAAGGTGAGCCCTCCTGTCCCCTGCAGGGTGGCAGGAGAGTGTGCTCGTGTGCAGATCTGGAGCCAGGTCTGAGTGTCCACAGCAGAGGCCTCTGTCCTCTCACACACTCTGTGTCCCCTCCCTGGGGCTGTCATGGAGCACGGTGAGCCCCAGGGCAGAGCAGCCCGGAGAGGGTGGGCCACACTCAAGGACTTAGCCCTTAGCACTCAGGGTCTTACCACAGACACGTCTTGGAGAGTGTTGGCATTGCCCTGGACGGCCTCGCCACTTTCCTCCAGGTCCAGAGTGTTCTAGAAATGGGTAAGAAAATAGCATGAGCAAACAGAAGCCGAGGGGGGAAATCTGTTCCTCAGCACACCCAAATGAGCGGGGGCTTCTGACACTTGGACGGGGTTCTGAGACCGCTGACATGGCCCACTCCATTAAAAGGTACTTTACTCGTTAAAGTCCACTTCCCGCAGGTCACTTGGAAGTTGGTTTTCCTTTGGAAATTTCTGATCCCTTTTGGGCCTCCCAGCACTATCTGGGGCAGAGGCCAGGGTCTCCAGCCTCCACTGGGGATTCCTGGAGTAGGAATTGCTCAACACTTCCAAGGCCCCTCCCTCCACTGGCCCTGAGGCCCAGGAAGGGGTGAAAATGGCAGGTCACAGGTAAGAAGAGGATGGGAGAGCCCCTCTCTTTTTAAGTGCTGATGGTTTTCACCCTGAGGGAGTGGCCTAAGGTTTAAATGGGTGGTATTTTGCAAGAATTCAATTTCTTCTCTCCTCCCTCAGCTCATGGGGAAGAAGCCGGAAGTTCCAAGTGAGCTGCTAAAGGCTCTCTGGGTGCCCTGAAGACTCTGTGCACACGGGCTCCCCCGAGGGTCAGGGGCGCCACTTCCTCGGCTCCAGAGCCAGGGTGACCATGAGCCTCCAGCACAGTAATAGCTAATTTTTTTATAGATTCGTTTTTTTTTAAAAATTTCTTCCATGAGTGAAAAAGACAGAGAGCGAGCGAGCAAGTGAGCGAGCACTCCCTCCAACAGGACCCTGCCGCCACCCCACCCCCCCAGCTTCACTCATCCCTGCAAGATGGACACACAAGTGCACCCAGAGTACTCGGAGATCTCCAGACATGAGCCCAGAACTTTCCATGGTCGGCCTTGCAGACTGTGGACTTTACTGCTGCAGCTCCGCCTGGCCCCTACGAGGCTGAGCTTTATGCATCAGCTTGACTTGGCTAAGGGATGCCCACATAGCTGGTAAATCAGTATTTCTGGGTGTGCTCCTGAGGGCGTTTTCTGGGCAGATTAGCATGGAATCGCCAGACTGAGTAAAGATGCCCCTCCTCAAGGTGGCGTGGCATCCTCCAACCCATTACGGACCTGACAGGACAAAAGGGCCGAGAAGGTGGAATTGGCTTTCTTCTGGAGCCAGGACGTCAGACACTGGTGCTCCTGGTGCCAGGGCCCTTGAACTTGGCAGATCGGGGGCTGCTCAGCCTCCTTAATTGTGTGAGTCAATCTCTCACGATAAATCGGTCTCTCTCCTCTCTCTCTCTCTCTCACCTATTAATTCTGCAGAACCCTGGCTAACGCAGCCACTGACTCCTGGCTCAAGTCCCAATTGCCGTGATGAACACTGAGCAGTCTCTGAAGCTCCAGACTGACAACGAGCTGGGGGTCCAGAGGAGGTGAGACGCCATCCTCGCCTTCGTGAGCTTAGAGACAGTGAGGTGGGCTGATAAGCAAACAAGTGAGGGACTGCAGAGAGGACATGGATTGGAGGGACACGGGCATATAACATAGCTGGGGGACAGGGTTACCAGGAAGGCTTCCTGGAGGAGGGGAGGGGGCACAGCTTAAAGTTCAGTCTTACAGTTGAGCAGGACAAAGAAAGGAACATTGAGTGTTTCCAAGGGAAGGGTGTACATAAAACAGGAAGGAGACAGGGGGTGTTAAGAGAATTTTTGAGCAGCTCCATGTAAGTCAAGCTTGGAACAGCTTAGACTTGAGGCTGAGGGCAGTGGGTTGCCATGGATACGTGGTCACAGTTGCCTCTACGATGATCCTCTCTGCTCACATCCTCTCCGGCCGTAGTGAAATGCCATAGGTGTGCCGGGACCTTCACACTGGCCTTCTCGTCGGCCACCCACATGGCACACTCTGCTCACCTCCTTCAAGGACCTACTCATAAGGTCTGGCCTGGACAGCGCGGGACCCGTGTTCTCCACCCAGCAATCAGTACATAATCTTGAAACGCAAATCAGGTCATGTCTGGCCCCGGTGTCTGCCCCCACGCCCCACCCCGCCTCCCGGCCTCCGGGCCTCTTCATCCTACTTGGGGGAAATCACAAACTCCAGT